AGCAGCGAGTAGAGGAGGGCCGACTACATTACGCTCAGATGCCATAGATGAGGGCGTCGAATGGCGAATATGCCAATAAGGTGGAGGAGATGATGGCCACCAAGAGGCAACGCTCGACTGAGAGTGCCATTAAAGACACTCCGGCGAGCAAGCGGCAACGCGGGCCCACGAGTGCAGCCCCTCCACCGAAAATGGCCAAGAAGCCATCGAAACCTAAAGCGAAGGTCAGCGATGTGACCAAACGACATTTGATCGTGGCACTCATCGACCGGAGCGAGGAAAACGGCAAGATGTCAGCGGTACAGTGGAAGCTTGTGCATACGCGTCTCGTCGACGCACTGTTTGCACACATGGAGGAAGACCCCGCGGCCCCAATGCCCACGCTCGATGGTGCTGGGTGGCTAAATGGGGTTAAGATCCTAAAGTGCAACGACGATCCAACCCTAAGGTGGCTGACGCGCACGGTCTGCCAACTGGAGGCGATGTGGGAGGGGGCCAAGCTGGAGGTTGTGGACCGGGAGCTTATCCCGTCCAAGCCGAAGGCGAAGGTACTCTTCCCCATCACAATCCAGGGGGACCGAGCGCTGAAGCTCCTTCAGCGGCAAAACGCGAACGTGCCAACGACCGATTGGAGGATCCTACACACTGGTAGCCCACTACCCAACGAGGGGGGCCAATGTCTGATCCTCCAAATAAACAAGGAGGCAGAGGATCTGCTGTATCCCAAGTTCGGGAAGATGGCGTGGGGCATGGGTAGCGTCTACCTGCGCCTCAAAAAGCGCCACCCTGAGCACAAGGACGCGCATACCCTGCAGGTAGGCGAGGTGGAAAAGGACTTAGGTCTCGAGTCCATCGTGGAGGCCGCCCAGGGTCTTGCGCTTGAGGACGAAGACGAGGAAGACGGTGACCTGACGTTAGTAGTCAACCCGTCGGATGCAAGTGAGCCAGCCACCCATGCTGAGTGTGCTGCAGCTGCAGTGCTGCAGCTCAACTTGCATAAAAGCAAGGTAGCGTCGGCGGAGCTCCTCATCGCCATGGAGCAAGAGCTCGACGACATAGCTCCAGTCCAGGAGCCCTGGATTGCGACGGGCAATTCAGTGGCCGGACTAAAGTCCTCAAATCACAACCTGTTCTACACAACATCGGTAAGCAGGACCAGAAATCCATGCTTACCTTATGTCTCATTACAGAACGGATGACCTGACGATTGTGATGCTGGAAAGTGAGGAAAAGCGCCTTCTGGTGGCTTCCTGCTACATGGCACACGACAGACCCGCACCACCCGACGAACTCAGGAGCCTGGTGACAGAAGCCGGCACCAGAAACTATCAACTCGTCATCGTGACGGATGCCAATGCCCACCACAACGTGTGGGGAAGCACCGACATCAATGATAGAGGTGAGTCACTCTTAGACTTTATACTAGCAACTAATCTATATATAGCAAACGTCGGGGAGGAGCACACCTTCGTAGGTCCGACCTCATCCAACGTGCTAGACCTAACACTTGCAACGGGAAACAGTACTACGGTATCTAGCTGGAGGGTCCTTGAAAGACCCTCCTTCTTAGATCACAAGTACATTCAGTTTAAGTGCGACTTCAAACATTCTTCGAAGGTCATAGTCTATAGAAACCCCCGGAATACAAACTGGGAAAAGTTTAAAAAGACAGTTACTTCGAAGCTCGCGAGTCCGGGTACAGTGAAATCCGCGGAGGACATAGAGAAGTCTCTAGAGACCCTATCCAACGCGTTACTGGACGCCTACCACTCATCGTGCAAACCCTCGAGAACGAAGAAGAGGTCCAAGCCACTCTGGTGGAGCCGGGATCTCTCCCTTCAAAGGGACAACCTCAAGGAATTCTTTAAGATCGCCAAACAAGCGAACGAAGGGATCGTCTATGAGGAATACAGACTCCTACTCAGGAGCTACAAGAAGGAAATACGTAAAGCACAACGGAACTTGTGGAGGACCTTCTGCTCCAACATCGAGAAAGTACCAGAAACCGCACGGCTACGGAAGCTGCTCTCTAAGCAGCCTACCATACAAAGCCAATTAAAGCTAGATGACGGACAGTGGACAGAGGGCAGTGACGAAGCCCTAACAGCACTAGTGGAGGAACATTTGCACCGAGGTCGCTGATGCCAAAGAGCACCAGGACCTAGCAACCGAGGAACAACACCCCCAACAGATCTGTTAACCACCAAGCGAATCCACTGGGAAATAGACTCCTTTGCGGGCACAAAAGCACCAGGACTTGACGGGGTATTCCCAACCATGATGCAGATGACCAAAGAGGCGATTACCCCATGGCTCTCCGCAATATTCACAGCTTGTATAAGTACTGGCTATATCCCTATCCAATGGAGAACCTCGAGAGTTGTCTTCCTCCCAAAGCCAGGAAAGTGCAGCCATGCGAGTCCCAAGGACTATAGACCGATAACCCTTACCTCCTTTATATTAAAAACACTAGAAAAGCTGCTGGACTTACACATCAGGAATGAGGTAGGGGGACTGATGTCAACCAACTAGCATGCCTATACTAAAGGGAAATCGGTGGAGACCGCACTACATTCGGTAGTAGCTACCATTGAGAAAGCCCTTCACAATAAAAAGTATGCACTGGGAGTATTCGCGGACATCTCCGGAGCATTCAACAACGTGGCTACGGAAGCAATAACAAATTGCCTGGTAGCGACTAATACACACCCAGCAATCAACCTGTGGATAAGGAACCTCCGAGGTTGCAGACGGGTGCAATCAGAGTGGGGCACAGCTTCCATGGTGAAAGAGGCACACAGAGGCACACCCCAGGGTGGAGTCCTGTCGCCCCTCCTGTGGAATCTGGAGGTCGACGACCTCATCAAGAGATACGAAAGGAAGGCCCCAATAATAACAGCTTATGCGGACGACATAAACATACTTATTGCGGGTGTTTGCCCATCGACCTTCAGCTCACTAATGGAACGAAAACTCAGGGAGATACGCGAGTGGGCGGAAGAAGTAGGACTCAGTATCAACGCGGACAAGACGGACCTCATCCTCTTTACCAAGAGGTACAAGGTACCGATATGGACCCCCCCGAAGATCAATCAAACTAGGCTAACCCCAAAAACAAAAGTCAAATACCTGGGCACAGTACTGGATAGTAAACTGGCATGGAAACCCAATGTATTGGAAAGGGTGAAGATGCATCCAAGAAGATGCTCAGCAGCACATGGGGCCTGTCTCCGGCTCTGATGCATTGGATTTACATCTCGGTGGTGCGACCAACTCTGCTGTATGGAGTCTTAGTGTGGTGGCAAGCTACTGGAAAGAAAACGTATCATAAGCTTATGGAAAGGACTCAGCGCCAGGCTCTGCTCTGTATTACAGGGGCGCTGAGGTCAACCCCAACAAAAGCACTCGAAACCCTACTTGGAATCGAACCCCTAGACATCCACGCCCGTCTGACTGCAGGAAAGGCAGCACAACGCCTCATCGCTTCAGGAAATATGTATGTCGCCACAAGAATACGGGCATAGTTCAATTGGAAGGGAAATGACCAGATCAACTGATTACATGACCCCCCAAACATGCCTCGACGTAAAAACAACTGCATCTTTGGGACCTGAAGACTGGAAAATCGGAAGAGACCAAACGGAGCACCTCAATATATATACGGACGGCTCCAAGATGGACGGAGGAGTAGGAGCGGGCCTATACTGTACAGACCCTGAGATAAGGCTGTCATATAAGCTATCGGACCATTGTAGCATATTCCAGGCAGAGATTTTTGCCATCAGGAAAGCAGCAGAGGTCGCTCTTCTCACTGAAAGAGCACACGATGCGGTCAACCTATTCGTCGACAGCCAAGCGGCGATAAGATCCATGCAGTCATCCGCAGTCAGTTCCAGAAATGTCTTGGCGAGCAGGGAGGCACTAGATACCCTTAGCACGACAAAGTCAGTGCGGATCTACTGGATTCCCAGCCACCAGGGCATGGAAGGGAACGAGACGGCGGACGTACTAGCTAAGGAAGGCGTCGGGCTAGCGAATACGAGAACCGAGAACGTGCCTGTCTCCCTTAGAACGCTGCAAAGCGATCTAGAAAAGCAGGCCGGATCACAAACCGAAAGTAGGTGGAGGAGTACCACCGCCTGCAGAACCTCGAAAATCATGTGCAAGGACCGCAATGACAAACTCAGCCACTACCTGCTGCACCTACCACGGAAGGACTGCAGATTATTAGTGGGAATATTAACGGGCTATTGCCTGGCTGCGGCGCATGCAACAAAGCTAGGCATCACAAACAGAAACAGTTGTAGGAAATGTGAAAAAATACCTCGATCCTCGAGGACTTCAAAACCCCCTAAACACTGCCGCGACGGTTCATACCCCCCCCCCCCCTATCCGGACAACTAAGGGCCATACTGGCCTATGTGGGGCCCCCTCTGAGGGCCGTCCGGGTCAACCTAACCTAACCTAACCTAGATGATTTCTTCGTTTCCAGTGGACAAGTTTCAATAAATTAAATTAAACTTGAAGTTAAAGGTAATTAAATTTCCAATCAACCATCCAAAGAATATTTTTAAGTCCGATCAACGCCGTTAACGCTATTGATGAATATGTTATTTATTTTTTAAAATTTAGAACAAAAACTAGATTATGCTATTGATTGCAAAAAAAGCACAATTTCACTAACCCGATGTATTACTCTTAATATAAAAGTCTGATCTATTATTTAAATAACAAAATCTGTCGGAAATATATAGAAGTTTTAAGCATTTCATTAAAAAAAATGTTTACTTATTTTCATTATTAACTCAATATGAATAAACAAAACTTTAATTAAAAATATTTGGCCCATGATTGATTTGGGTTTCTTTTCCATGTTAAGACTTAGTGAGACTCTAGTGAGAAACCAACTAAAGTCACCCATCATCGCTTCGTCCCAAACTCCTCGATAGCGACGTTCTCTCCATGGACTCTCATCACCAAGAAAACGAGATTGACATTAATAACATTTTATATTTTATATTTATGGAAAGATCTACCATGTGCATACAAATGTAAGTATGGTCTGCAAATTCTCAAGGATGCATGCCAAGAATGTGCTACGTTACGCTTCTATCGGAAACTGAAAGAGAAATTGAAAAGTTGAAATTACACCAAAAACCAGTTCTAAGAGAGTTCTAAAAGAACTGTGCGTAGACGTAGACCTAAAGAGCCAGTTGCTGGTATGTTCCATCATTACCTAAAAGGAAGTGAGGACTTCATGCATAGGGAGCACATTATTTGTGGGAAATCATGGGAATGGGAAAGCATGGGTCTGTGCCCGCTTCAATCGTCTTTTGGCTCAAAAAGTGAACAGTACTCGTAGTGCAATTGCTACGGCCTGCAGTCGCTCATGTCGTGCAATGGTCTGAAGCGACTGATTGTAATACGGCCCGACAGGTGCTGCCGTCTAGAAGCTCCTCTATGAAAAAGTGTGAATTAATGAATTAAATATTTAAAAAATGTTTTTTTTCGTAGGTGAGATTTTGTTTTTCCATCTTTCCATAGAGGCCTTTTGCAGCTTATGGGACAGATCGTAGAGCGTTTTTGGACAACTGTCGGGCAATTCAAGTTAATTTGAAGGGTGGTAGGGGAGAGACCTCTCCTGCATGCAGTTGCCTGCCAATATACATATAGATAAGGCCGATGCTCGACAACATTAAATTCGTATAGTGGCGGGTTCCTCGGGCCCTGGGGCCATAAAATAGACGGATTGATTTACGTTTTTTTTGTGACAGCTACAGTCAAAACTGTCTGTTGAACAAAAACCTGGTTACAGTTCGCGTTGGGTCATCGGTAATCTAGACTTGCGATTACTCAACTCAAAGCCACAATCAGCAAAGCATCAGCCAGTGGACAGCCAGATGCCTGATGATGATAGCACTGCTGATAATGATGATGCCATGCTAATGACGCCGACGGGCGAGTGAAAGTGCCGGCCAAGACACCCGATTAGCTGTCAACGACCGACGAGACGGCCAGAATGCGTCTCTGGCCGGCCGCCCCTCTCGTGCCAGGGCAACCGTTTTCACTTGTCAGCCTCGATCCACATTCGATTGCCATTGCAAATTCTAAATTGCGTATGCCCGACGCGTTCCACGACGCACAGCACCCACTGACGGCCATGGGGTTCCACGAACTGTGGGTGGGTTTAGGAGGGAATGTGAGTGGAGGCGGAGTGGAAAAAACAAACGAGACTGCGACTGCGACTGCAGCGCTTGTTTCTCGCTCATTCTCTCTCTCTCTCTCTCTCTCTGTCCCCTCTGTCCGCCTGAGTAATGGCCCGCGACGCTGTGCATGCTAGATGATTGAGAGATCTCGGAGCTAGATTCTGAAGTCGACACGCTCGTGCGCGGCGGCTCTCTTGAAGCTCTGTCTACATGGGGAAGGAGCCATTTTCATAAGCGATAGAGCTTCAAACAAATCTTATAACAAAGATAAATACACTTCTGATGAAAGCTGAGGGCTGATAAGAGTGACTCGAACGGATTGTGCTACCTCTGGGATGAGGGGCTTTTGGTCGCGGTCCACAAAGCGTGGTGAGGGAAGCTACCCCGATTCAATGATATCCGTATTTGTATTATCTTCAACTATTGCCCTCTTTTTCACTACAACAAGGGCCCAAAACATACCTCATCCATGCATAACTCTATCATGTTCTTCATTTCGAGCTCTGTAGTTGGTTTTCTTCTCAAACTTGATAACGAGCTTCAAATGAAGAACCTGCAAGATAGTTAAATGGTTTTTCCCATTTTTAAAGTACGATTTCTATACAAATTTAAGAACTGATACTAGCCGGAAATCAGAACAATTAAAATACAATTTGTTCAATGTTTTGGTATCTGCCACCAAAAGAGGGATATTTTATCATGATTTCGGAAATAACCCCCTCACTCCCGCTCGTTCAACTCGTGGCTCGGCGTTTAAGTGTAGTGCGTATGAGTTTTACGTGAGTGCATTCACTCACTCAAAATGAAACTCTATCGGCGCACAGTGGCTCGTTGAAGTCCAACTCACGGCCAAATACGGCCCTTTTTTTGTAGGTCAAGGTACAAATTTTAAACTGGAAAAAAGGACAAACAAAAAATGACAGATACAGTACAATACATTTTTCTTTTTCCTACGAATTTTTCATAATATGAATGAATATGAATTAACATGAATTTCATATATGTACATATTGATATTGATCTTTTAAACAAGGGCAAAATATTGTTCTTTTAAACAAGGACAAAATATTGCTCTCCAAGTTTAAGTACTTTTGGAAAACACTGTGCAATGGACCCTGTGCAGCGTACCATTCGAATTCACTCAATTCACTTTGAGTATTTTTCATTCGAATGCCGGTTTTTTGGCATTGACGGAGACCTCTAGTACTCATGCAAATGTGTGTATGTGAAGGGGGTCCCCGTGTGAGCATCTCAGATGTGCTGAATAGTAGAAAGAAAAACCAAAAAAACGCAATCAAATAAAATTTCCACTCAGTTTATTATTTGCTTAATTTTGCATGCGTGCCACAGCTTGAGAAGTAGGAGAAGTGGAGAGAGAGGGTCTGTTCGAACTGTAACAAGAGCAAAAGTGTGGCCCTCACTCACACTCCCCTGCACTGAACACACTTGTGCTTAAAGCCATAGCTACTCGAACATTCGCAATCATTCAAATACAAAAAATACAAAAAATTATAAATTGAATATTGGGCATTTACCCAAATACCACCCAAACATACATAGATGGAATTTTTCGTGAGCTAGTAGTTGGATATAACGTAAACTACATATACGTTTCGCAAAAAGTATGCAGAAATGCGAGGAATGTTATTTAAAAAGAACAGTCTCAAATGTAAATTTCTAAAAAACAACTGTGTGCCCACTGAGACCTATTATTTTGAGCTCAGGTGTTTGCATGGGCAGCCAGCCATTAGCTGTGTGCTGTTTGGCATTTAGTTGGGTGCGGGCGCAGCAGGTGGGAGCGGTGGGAGCGGTGGCACCGCCGCGACGTCGGCTGCCGATGCGGGTGCGGGCGCGGGTGCGGCTGGCCATAACCGCAAAAGTTTCGCCTCCGGGGAAAGTTCTGAAGAGGCGAGAGTGTGACCCTTATTTCGCTTTTTGCTTTTGCCAATTTATTCAAATGCCTTGGCTAATCGAATGCGCAGCCAACGAACATAGAAATACTCGTATTTCTAGAAAATGGAAATTCCAAAAGCTGCTGCCGCCATCGGAACTAGCCAGGAAATTGGTGTGAAATTTCTGGAATGGTTTAAGGTTCTGCTATTCTTCTATTACTCTATGCCATAGAAGACACTGTTGCTATTCGTTGTAACATACTTTGTTGTAAATTTATCATGAGTCATAATATAGCTATTGAAATTTTGTATCCGGTACTCGAAGAGTATAGTGGTATATGAGATCTGTTGAAATAGCCATGTCCGTTTGTCCGTCTTGTTTGACGCCTAGTTTTTAGAGACTTTAAGAGTTGACCAAAATATGGTAGAAATATGGTAGTATTAAAGGAAGTTCGCAGAACGCAACAACACCAGTAGCCAGGCGACTTATCCTTGTAATTCCCAATGTTCTGCAGCAAAATCAGGTAAGAATATGGTGTTAGGGCACGTTTCCAAATTAGGCGTCTGAACTACATACATACATACTCGTACATCTCAATCCGAGCAATTAATAACATCCATATTTGTTGATGGCCTAATGTATGTTACAAGTTCAAGCACAGAGTAATGTTCTGACATAAAACGAGCGGGAACGTTGCGAGCGTGTAAGGGCCACGGCTCTACACTTGTACTTGTACTTGTACACAGTCAGTATGTGTGTTGCTATCTCGCTCCCCTGCGCCATAAGTGTGGGTGTGAGAGAGAGAGAAAATGAGTAAGCGCGTGGAAGAGGGTTGGGTAGACACTGCCATTTCATTCGTTCCTTTTGGGTGTAATAATGATCCGATCTACACCAGATTCTAAACCGTGTCCATTTCCTCTCAAATATGATGGTTTTACCATCCAAAAAGTGGAGAATGAAGGAGCTTACAAAATTTAATGTAAAGTAGATGACTGCATTATATCAGTATAGAACTACTCGTATAAACAGAAAAGTTATATATACATCGAAATCATTTAATACAAATAAATAAACTATAATAAAAACATTGAAGTGTTAATGATTAATTATATCCGATAGGGGCTGTTTGTAGTGGGGCGGATCGAAGATCAATTCTCCAAACGTCAAAATCGGTGATCCAGTGAGCCTCTTAGAAGCCGTCGCGAGAAATAAAAAGCAGCTGTGTTTCGTGATAAGTGGGGGTGTATTTGGTTCTGGGGTGCGTTCGACCGTTTGAATCGGGGGTGGAAACGTAACTAACTACTCTATGCCTTATGATGCTTTTGCTCTATGCTGGCTTGAGCGCCGTGTGGATCGTGACCTGTGGATCGTGGACCTCCCGAGCGCCCCTCCGAGCGCGCGAGCGCATGTTGGGACCGGAGCGCCCGGCGTTGGCACAGTGCGCGACAATCGTCTCCTGCTGGCCTGAACAGGGGCTTTTACACACTTTTTAAACATATGTATAAAGTCCCTCTTTGTAGACATATGATCTTGATCTAAAGTTTGATAAAAGCTGGCTGTACCAGACCCCTCACAGTCTTCTTTCAGAATTGCACAAACATGTGGTCGAGTGTGTTTATTTTCAGCTGCCATTTCATTTTCATTTTCGCCTTTTGTTGTTTGGATTACCACTTCGTTTTTTGGCAGTGAATATTCATGGAGTCAGCTGCCGAAATATTTGCATAATAGAAAATGCTAAAACATCTCCTTTGTGATTTTTTGTTGTCCGCTAGCAGAATAAACATAAGCAGCAGCGGCGAAGAGACCGAAACGATACGATCCGATCCAATGCGATCCGCGGTGGTTGGACAACTTCACTTTCTTTTTCACTTCGGCGGCTCGAGTCAGAAATGTTTTTTCTTCTTTCTTTCTTCTGCGGCTGTCGTCTGGTCTGGTCTGGGCCCCGATGCGTCGATGGGTGCTGTGCTGGATGATGATGGCCGCTGTCGTTGATGTCTTCGAAGACCAGAGGGAGCTGGCAACAGCTACACAGCCACAGCTATGGATATACATATGTGTGAATAGAGGTTTATATGGAGGTAATTTTCGAGAGGGAGAGATGGCACGCCCACTCTCCATCCTGTTCGGATGGATGCTCATTAATCTTATGGCAAATGCGCCAGGGCAGCAGATTATTGTTTAGCTAATTACGGAGATTGGAGATTTGACATCGGAGCGGCAGTAGAGATCAAAACGGACATTGCAAATTACTCATACGCCCCGCATGACCAGGGAAACACAGCTAAAGAGAGTGAAAGAGAACGAAAGAAAAGCTGCGCTGCGCTGCACAAAGATTCGAAGAGGAAAAAAGTCGTTAACTGGCGACGTTTTCGAAATTGTTTAACTCTCTTTTCCCTCTCCAGCTGCGTGGCCAAGAAATTTATGAAAGAATTCCGTATTCCGTCCAATGGAGAGTGAAAGCAGCCGGCAAAATGCTCAAGTTTCTTTGGTTTTTTTTGATGGGGCAGTGGCAGTGGCAGTGCCAGTGCCAGGGGCAGGGGTCCCCCGTCAAACAGCTCCGAAAGATCATTGACTCTATCTGTGTGGGTTGTCTCTCTCCCTCTCGCTCTCGCTCTCTCTCTTTCTGTGGTAGCTTGCGTGTGTGCGACACTTGTGTGTTCGAACACAATTTTTGGGCTCGACCTGATCGACGGCACTTGAATCCGCAGATCGAACTCGTTTCTCGGCCCCGCGTTTGTCCACGTCTGTCCACGTCTGTCCGAGGCACTCGGGGGAGAATCGGTTAGGGTAGGCTACCATTAACAGTGGGTAAAGCTCCACAAACTGAGAGATAAACGGTGCAAAATGTTGGTTGTCTGTAACTAGAACGACCTTACGTACTCTATGTAGGACAGGGAATGTTGGCTATGGTTGGCTATTGCAACAGATTACAAAAACTCTAGTTCTGGTCACTCTCTGGTCTGTAGCTCCTTGCTTTTCCTAAGCTCTAGTAATCTGGAATACCAACTGTGGATGGACTTGTATTCTTTATTCAATATCATCTTGCAGCTCTC